AACCCTAAACACCCTAAACCCTACACACTCTACACCGGAAACACCGTGAACCCTGAGGGCTTTATCGTGGGTAATGGTCTAGCGCCAGTCCGGTCTCCGTATGCAGCGGTCCACGTCGAGAGCCAAGACCAATGGCTTGGTAGTGTGGCGGTTCTGGGGCTTGCGGGAAGTTGAGGGTTTGGGGTTTGGGTTTGGGGTTTGGGGTTTAGGGTTTAGGGTTTGGGTTTAGGGTTTCGGGGCTTGGGGGTTCAGTAGCTCTGCGGCCCCAAGCCAGGGTCCAAGGTCACGGTTGCAGCGCAATTGTCCGGCATGAGACTTGCCCAAGCCCGGGGCTGGGTTGCGATGCAGAACCACAGAAGGAACATCCCGCGCTAGGGCACAGGGTATCGCCTTCTTGGCATCAACCTGCATGGCATTTAAAGGCCATCGACGCAACGATACAACGATTGCTGGCCAAGTCCGAAGCACCCTCCCTTCTTCATTGAGCCTTATTTCGGGTTGAAGCGGGGTAGTCTGCGTAGTTGAGGCGGGTAGTACAGGATCCAGGCTCTAGGTTTAGGGTTCAGGGTCCAGGGCTCGGTTCTTTCAGCGTGACGCACTGGAGCTTCCAGCGCGCCCTTCTTCGTGCCGTGAAACCCGCCCCCAGTCCAGCCAACTTGACTGGAGAAGCGAGAGAAGAGGTTCCACTTGCCCTAAACCTCCATGTTTAGGGATAGTCGGAGGGACCCTAAAACCTTAAAGCTAAACCTTAAACTCGACCCTATAAAGCGTCCTTAAGAGGGTCCCTCCTCTAGTCCTTCAAACTCTGTGGCCGTCTTGCTGCAACCTGTGCGAGAGACCTATTGGCACCAAAGATTTAGGGTTGAGGGTTTAGGGTTTAGGCTTAGGGTTGAGGGATTAAGGCCAAATGCAGGGCTACGTATCACAACAGGGAATCAGAGAACTTCTTATCTAAATTCTGGGACCATTCTTGTACCCTACAAATACGGCTCCGTGAACTAGAACAGGAACCCCAACAAGGGAAACTATTCAGAGAGCTGCCCAAACATTAGGCCTGAGGCCCTAAACCCGAAACCCGAGACAAGGGGTAGACGGGGCAGTGCTGTTGTACTTTGGGTGGTTGTAGGTAGGTAGGGTTATACAGCCAGGTAACCAGACATTTATCCCCAGGTACTGAACCACCTATGAAACCCCCAACCATAAACACCCTAAACCCTAAACACTCTAAACCCGAAACGCCCTGAACCCTGAAGGCTTTGTCGTGGGCAATGGTCTAGCACCAGTCCGGTCTCCTTAGGAGCAGTCCACGACGAGAGCGGTTTTGGGGCTTGGGGGGAGTTGGGGGTTTGGGTTTTCAGGTTTCGGGGCTTAGGTTTAGGGTTTCGAGGCTTAGGGGTTCAGGAGCTGTGCGGCCCGAAGCCAGGGTCTCGGTTACAGCGCAATTGTCCGGCATGAGACTTGCCCAAGCCCGGGGCTGGGTTGCGATGCAGAACCACAGAAGGAACATCCCGCGCTAGGGCACAGGGTATCGCCTTCTTGGCATCAACCTGCATGGCATTTAAAGGCCATCGACGCAACGATACAACGATTGCTGGCCAAGTCCGAAGCACCCTCCCTTCTTCATTGAGCCTTATTTCGGGTTGAAGCGGGGTAGTCTGCGTAGTTGAGGCGGGTAGTACAGGATCCAGGCTCTAGGTTCAGGGTTCAGGGTCCAGGGCTCGGTTCTTTCAGCGTGACGCACTGGAGCTTCCAGCGCGCCCTTCTTCGTGCCGTGAAACCCGCCCCCAGTCCAGCCAACTTGACTGGAGAAGCGAGAGAAGAGGTTCCACTTGCCCTAAACCTCCATGTTTAGGGATAGTCGGAGGGACCCTAAAACCTTAAAGCTAAACCTTAAACTCGACCCTATAAAGCGTCCTTAAGAGGGTCCCTCCTCTAGTCCTTCAAACTCTGTGGCCGTCTTGCTGCAACCTGTGCGGGAGACCTATTGGCACCAAAGATTTAGGGTTGAGGGTTTAGGGTTTAGGCTTAGGGTTGAGGGATTAAGGCCAAATGCAGGGCTACGTATCACAACAGGGAATCAGAGAACTTCTTATCTAAATTCTGGGACCATTCTTGTGCCCTACAAATACGGCTCCGTGAACTAGAACAGGAACCCCAACAAGGGAAACTATTCAGAGAGCTGCCCAAACATTAGGCCTGAGGCCCTAAACCCGAAACCCGAGACAAGGGGTAGACGGGGCAGTGCTGTTGTACTTTGGGTGGTTGTAGGTAGGTAGGGTTATACAGCCAGGTAACCAGACATATATCCCCAGGTACAGAACCACCTATGAAACCCCCAACCATAAACACCCTAAACCCTAAACACTCTAAACCCGAAACGCCCTGAACCCTGAAGGCTTTGTCGTGGGCAATGGTCTAGCACCAGTCCGGTCTCCTTAGGAGCAGTCCACGACGAGAGCGGTTTTGGGGCTTGGGGGGAGTTGGGGTTTGGGTTTTCAGGTTTCGGGGCTTAGGTTTAGGGTTTCGAGGCTTAGGGGTTCAGGAGCTGTGCGGCCCGAAGCCAGGGTCTCGGTTACAGCGCAATTGTCCGGCATGAGACTTTGCCCAAGGCCCGGGGCTGGGTTGCGGCTGGGTTGCGATGCAGAACCACAGAAGGAACATCCCGCGCTAGGGCACAGGGTATCGCCTTCTTGGCATCAACCTGCATGGCATTCAAAGGCCATACACGCGCCAGGATACAAGGATTGCTCGCCCAAGCGCGTCAACCTTGTGGCCAACTCCGAAACACCCTCCCTTCTTTGTAGTTCCCCACTTTCGGGAACACAAATGGTTCGCCGGGTTGGCATAATGTACCAAGAGAGTGGGTCCCGAAAAAAGGGAACTACAAACTGGCACAGGTCATGTCAACATCTGCTCTTTCCGACCATAACGTCATAACGAACTCGTCGCCTCAAACAGAGGAAGGACATCAGATGCGGACATCTCCCAGGGAGGCCATATGGATATTTCCAAAAAATAGGGAGTACCCTTCATATACCCGAAAATAGTATTATTCATATTAAAGGAAACCCCAAAAGGGTACCCCCATTTTCGGAAACCCCTCATATATCTTCGATCTGCAGCGGCCACTGTGATCCTTCGGTCAACAGGTCAGGTTTTATGAAGGTTTCGGGTTTAGGGTTTACGGGTGGCGCTACTCTGTACATGACGTAACAGGGGTCCAAAAAAAGAACTGCGCGGTTTACAGAACCCTACATATATAGCATGGGGCCTGTGGAATGGACCGTGTTGGCACATCGGCAAAACCCAACACGGTGTTCATGTGGCCCGTTCAAATAAGCAGAAATACTTCACAGATTGTGTGATCATGGGAGCTGTTCTAAGCTAGGGCTCTCTTATGGGGAACCCTTACGTAGAACCCGACCCCAACTATGCAAGCAAAAGCCCCTACATAGAAAACTGACCCTAAACCCCAAACCCGAAACGCTAGAACAACTCCCATCTGAACCCGGAGCCATAAACCCCGGCAGGCATTCTCCACGAGGCTGAGGGCCTATGGGTTTGGCTGCTAGAAAGGAAGGATTCAGGTTTTAGGGGCTTGGGCTTCGGGTTTATAAGGGAACTTGTAGAGGAAAAGTCGGCAGTCGCACAAGCCTATTGAACGCCTCGAATGCCTTCGCGGTTTAAGGCCTAGGCCTCTGTGCCCCAAACGAGCAAAAAAGACATTCGGAGATGTCTGACAAGGCATGGACTTGAGATTTCATCACAACATATGAGCCCACAGGCATTCTCCAATTCTACGTGCTGGACAGAGCAGCAAGTCCCCGAACTGAGATGATGACACTGTGGTATTAGAATACCGTACGGCTATACTACTGGACGACTATTATGCTGCAATACTACAACACTGCAAAACACTACAACACGAGAATACTATAATACTATACTACGAAAATACTATAAGACTATAATACAATAATACGATAATACTATACTACTATGATACTATAATACTATAATACTATAATGCTACAATACTATAACACTATAATGCTATGATACTATAATACTATAATAATATACTACTATGATACTATAATACTATAATACTATAATACTATAATACTATAATACTATAATACTATAATACTATAATACTATAATACTATAATACTATAATACTATACTACTATAATACTATAATACTATAGTACTATACTACTATAATACTATAATACTATAATACTATAATACTATAATACTATAATGCTATAATACTATGATGCTATAATACTATAATACTATAATACTATGATACTACGATACTATGATACTATGATACTATAATATTATAATGCTACAATACTAGAATACTATAATCCTATCATACGATTATACGATTATACAAGTATTCTATTGCACTATTATAAGCTAATACTCTAATACTCGGATACTCTAATACTCGAATACTATGACACTCTAAACCTCTTATACCAGAATACTCTGATACTATGACACGGTGATACTACAATACTATGATACGATGATACTATGATACTATGATGTCATGATACAACAAAAACATGTACCGATATGCGCAGCTTGTCTGGCGGCCCGTGAACCCCGAAACCATGGACCCTAAACCCTATACCCCGACAGCACGTCGAAAAGCTGCTCTGCCAATGCTACACCGCGACTCTGGTCTTTCTAGCCTCAAGACTGAAAGCCAGACATGGGGGATTCTCTAAATTATGGTCTTTTGGGGGTTCCTCTTATAATACGGAGCCTTGTATTTAGGGTACACAAAAAGGGCCCGGATTTTAGCGACTCCCCCAGATCTGCAGGATAAGTTCCTGGACACTGAAGCATACGTGTGAAGAAATTCGTTGACGCAAGATAACAGTGTAGACTCTAAATCCTAAACTCTAAACCTAAAACCGACTGTAGTGAGCAACGTGTTCTGCGTACAATCAATCTCAAGCCTCAAGCCCACTCGACCCTCAGCGGGGTCGCTGGACTGGGCCTGGTTGCAGGACGCGAGGTCGCACTTCATCAGGCATGTCCTTAGGCGCTGCGTTCAACTTTGGGAGTTCAGGGGATTAGGGTTACCCTCAACCTCAACCCTAAACCCTAAACCTCTCTTTCATATATAATTTAAATGTTAAGGAGTTACTGGGCAAGGTCGCTGTTTTACTGGGCAAGGTCGCCGTTTTACTGGGCAAGGTCGCCGTTTTACTGGGCAAGGTCGCCGTTTTACCGGGCAAGGTCAGTTGGTCAAAAAAATCGACCTTGCCCAGTAAAACGGCGACCTTGCCCAGTAAAACGGCGACCTTCCGCCCCTGCCCAGTAAAAATGCGACCTTGGACCCCGAAGGTCGCTGTTTTACTGGGCAAGTCGCCGTTTTACTGGGCAAGGTCGATTTTTTGACCAAAATCGACCTTGCCCAGTAAAACGGCGACCTTGCCCAGTAAAACGGCGACCTTGCCCAGTAAAACGGCGACCTTCGGGGCCGAAGGTAGCATTTTTACTGGGCAGGGGGGTGTGCCCGAAGGTCGCCGTTTTACTGGGCAAGGTCGCCGTTTTACTGGGCAAGGTCGCCGTTTTACTGGGCAAGGTCGCCGTTTTACTGGGCAAGGTCGCCGTTTTACTGGGCAAGGTCGCTGTTTTACTGGGCAAGGTCGCCGTTTTCTGGGCATGGGCAAGGTCGTTCTATAAGTAAAATGTTTTCTTAATGTTGTGGGATTCTTTGGGCGGGTGGGTATTTTCCTGGAGTAATTGCTTGACTAGTGAATGCTTGGAGTTGAGATGCTGAACCCTTAACCCTAAACCCTGAACCCTAAACTGCCCTACACCCTAGACTGCCCTAAATTAAACCCTTAGGGTTTGGGGTTTAGGGTGTCATACCTCGAAGGTTAAAACTTATAGGCTCAACCCTCGAGCATCTTGCACTGTACTTGCAGCCACCGCAATGCATTACGCTTAGTTGCTCCTCCCCTGTTCTTGAAACCGCTATAGCAAATGCTTACAGGCCCTTGAAATCACCGGCCCCGAAAGTTCTCAAAGTTACCTTCTAAACATGGCCAGCCCCGAAAACTGCCAGAAAGTCTTCGAAAGAGCATGGGCAGCTTCCCAAATTCGGGTTCCTTTTTGGGTGCCCAGTATAAGGCGGCGCCCTTTCAAAAGTGATCCTAAAAAAAGGGACCCTCATTTAGAGAACCTAAACCCTAAACCCTAAACCCTAAACCCTAAACCCCATTCGAGCTTCGGTGAGAGTGGTCAGCAAATCGGTCTCGAGGCATGCCAGCGCGAAGGCGCGCACAAAGGCGTTGTTCTTGGCGAGGTGCTGGAGTTGGTCCTGCTGGGCCTGCATCTCCTCTCCTAGGTGGTTTAGGGTTTAGGGTTTAGGGTTTGGGGTTTAGGGTTTAGGGTTTAGGGTTTGGGGTTTAGGGTTTGGGGTTTGGGGTTTGGGGTTTGGGGTTTGGGGTTTCGGGTTTGGGGTTCGGGGTTCGGGGTTTGGGGTTTGGGGTTTGGGGTTTGGGTTTGGGGTTTTGGGGGGTTTGGGGTTTGGGGGGGTTTGGGGTTTGGGGTTTGGGGTTTGGGGTTTGGTTTGGGGTTTTGGGGTTTGGGGGGTTTGGGGTTTGGGGTTTGGGGTTTGGGGTTTGGGGTTTGGGGTTTGGGGTTTGGGTTTGGGGTTTGGGGTTTGGGGTTTGGGGTTTGGGGTTTGGGGTTTGGGGTTTGGGGTTTGGGGTTTGGGGTTTGGGGTTTGGGGTTTGGGGTTTGGGGTTTGGGGTTTGGGGTTTGGGGTTTGGCTTAGTTTTCAAGGTCCCAAAAAACAACAATCTATTTTCATGACTAGAACAACAACTTATAAACAAAAACCCTAAGCCCGAAAAAACGAACCCAACAACTTCCAAGAAAATAAACCCTAAACCCTAAACCCTAAACCCTAAACCCTAAACTATTCGGAAAACTGCCGCCCAGTCTCGGTTTCCCCCTAGAAGCTTCAACACCTCGGCCTTGTACCTTGGTAGCCCCCTAGAGTTAGGGTTTAGGGTTTAGGGTTTAGGGTTTAGGGTTTAGGGTTTAGGGTTTAGGGTTTAGGGTTTAGGGTTTAGGGTTTAGGGTTTAGGGTTTAGGGTTTAGGGTTTAGGGTTTAGGGTTTAGGGTTTAGGGTTTAGGGTTTAGGGTTTAGGGTTTAGGGTTTAGGGTTTAGGGTTTAGGGTTTAGGGTTTAGGGTTTAGGGTTTAGGGTTTAGGGTTTAGGGTTTAGGGTTTAGGGTTTAGGGTTTAGGGCTTAAATAAGGACCCCAATAAGGTACCCCGAATTTCGGAAACCACCATATTACACGAAGGGTATGCCGGGCACTTTATAGGGGAACCTTGACCAAAAAACTGGGAAAAGGGTACCACTGGGCTACCAAGCAACTTGTCACGCGTCTGCTTCCGCGCGCGCTTCTTTGCCGCGCCGTCCTTCTTCGCGGAGTGCATGTGGCAAAACTTGCAGCTCGCACCATGCAAGCATCCCCCTGAACTCGCCAAGAAGATGCAAGGATTGCAATCCTTGCCTGAGTTGTCCAGCATCCTATGGTAACTAAAGGTTAGTCAAGCTTTGGGACTATCGAGGGATTCTACGACCCCAAAGAAAGGCTAAAGGTTACCCACTCTACTACGAAGTGGCAATCTTGCTCCGTGCTCTGAGCCTCCGCAAGCTCCACGACCGGGTCCGCCCCGCTCACGTCTTCCGAGGCGGCTGCGTCGCCATGTGAGCTACGTGGGGTACCTCGTGCGCTTGAAGGGTTCATGGGTAGTTATGAGCAGGGTTATAGGTGCCCGACTTGAGGTTATAGGAGAACTTACTGTTTCCCGACTTACAACCATGAACCTTCATGTGGGGAAGGGAAGGGGAGAGGGGGATTGTTGTATAATATTCTTCCGGGGGACACCCGGGAGGGTGATCCTAGGTCCCGGTCTAGGGTTCAGGGTTTGGGGTTCAGGGTTCACGGTTTAGGGTTTAGAGGTTGTGGCTGAGGGCAAAGTCTGATCTTCAGGTAGTAAGTGGACAGGACGACACATTTAGAAGAAAGCCGTTCCTCGCCTGCCCTTACAGGCCGTAGATGTACCACACAGCGCTTTAGACTAGAAGGTACCTTTATCCCTACAAACCCTGAAGCACCAGTACATGACGCCATTGTTCTGCACTGCTAATGTTGGTTAGGAAGTTTGCGTTTGATCTTGCAGATGTACTACATCATCAAGGCTGTAGCAACAGCGACAGGGATGTCAACCAGCCAAGTCCTTGAGCTTGCCTTCAAACGCTTAAACCCTAACTAAACCCTAAACCCTAACCCTAACCCCAACCTAAACCCTCAACCCTCAACCCTCAACCCTCAACCCTCAACCCTCAGCCCTCAGCCCTCAGCCCTCAGCCCTCAACCCTCAACCCTCAACGCCCCCCCCCACCCCCCCTCCATCCTCCCTGCGGCGCGGTTGCATGGCCAAGAGGACAACCGCCCCCACTTCAGGGCCCTGAGCTCGATGTCCTCATCCGAAACCACATTGAGAAATGTATTCCTGAGGTTTTTCCCGGCATCCGAGGGGAACTCAAGGGTAGCCTTTGGGATTCTGTAGGGATTATAGGGTTTAGGGTTTATGACAATACCCCAAGAATGCCACAAAAGCTTGCCTACTCTGCTACTAAGGTTCTGCTGCACCACGCGATGACCCTCGTGGGAGAGTGATGCGGCAGGCATGGGGCCGGAAAGCATGCCGGTGGGAAGAATTGGCGGATGGATAGAACCGACAAAAAACCTTCTTCTGCAGCGCGCTCGCTTGAGACAAAAAGCCCGCGCAGTTGTGTTGTGATGACAGTCGCTGCGGTCGTTGCTTACCTTTTTTGATGACGATTCTTTCTAGGATTATGATCATGTGCAGAGTATCTACTACTCCCATGATTTCCATTCTGTCCACTGTCTTTACTCCTCCTGCTCTTCTTTAAAGAAGAAACTTCTGGGGTCGGATGGGCCCTGAAAAGTAGGGCCGAGGCCTCCAGCCCGACATATCCATGCAGCTGCCCCTCTGCATTCATGATCGTAACCACTGGCAAACTTGAGGCCTTAGGGCTTCGGGGTTTAGGATTAGGGTTTAGGGTTTAGGGTGCTTAGGGTTTAGGGTTTCACGGATAGTTACAAGTAGGGTTGGAATTTTGCTTCATTCAGGTTACAATTTTGACTACCTTACTGACATCTAGTCCTGCCTATAACCGCCCATGGACCTTCAAGAACGATTGAGGGCTTCAGGGCTTACCCTAAACCCTAAGCCCTAAACCCGATCTCCCGCTTCCAAGGATCTTGGGACCATCGTGTACTTGTACTAAGGTGCTCATCAAGACCACCAATTCAACCCTAAACCCCTATATAAGCCCAAACCCTCATCCGAGGCCTCCCAGAACCCAAAACCCTCTTTTGTAGGGTTCTGGCTTTTCTGGTGATCCCGAAACCCTAAACCCTAAACCCCTAAACCCCTAAACCCCTAAACCCCTAAACCCCTAAACCCCTAAACCCCTAAACCCCTAAACCCCTAAACCCCTAAACCCCTAAACCCCTAAACCCCTAAACCCCTAAACCCCTAAACCCTAAAACCTAAACCCTAAACCCTAAACCCTAAACCCTAAACCCTAAACCCTAAACCCCTAAACCCCAACCCTTTGTTTCGGAGGCCAAGCCCCTGAACTCTTGGCGCCTGTAGGACTTAGGGCCCGGGGCTTAAAACGCAAACCAGTTTAGGGTTTAGGGTTTAGGGTTTAGGGTTTAGGGTTTAGGGTTTGGGGTTTGGGGTTTGGGGTTTGGGGTTTAGGGTGTACTTGGAGGCTCATGGGTAGTTCTAAGTAGGGTTTCGGGTTTAGGGCTGAGGATTTCTACTTGAAGGTTCATGTGCAGTTCTCAGTAGGGTTCTAAGTGCGGTGATTAAGGAAGTAGTGTCTTCATCATGAGCCTCCCTGTAGGGTTCAGGATTCGGAGTTTACAGTGTCGGGTGCGTAGGGTGTAGGGTTGAGGGATGTTGGGGACCCTCAGACTGCTAAGAAGACGAGCAAACATCATGACGATGACGATGCGGGCACCGCCACCACCACCGCCGCCACTACCACCCAATATAGGAGCCGTAATACTTAGAATAGGGTTTGGGGGGCTACAATTGTATAACTATAGAGGGACCTTACGGGAATATTATAAGTAATTATTCCGACCCCCTACATGAAACCCCAAACGCTACAAGTCCACCATATGGCCTGCATGGTGTCACTGATGGCTCTGCTGTAGTGGCGCACAGCCTGCCAGTGGTGTCTCAAACAAAGCGGCCTCTACACTATTGGGGCAGTTCTGCGACTCGGGTGCACAGCGCGCCGGATTTCAAGAGTCGGGGAGATGGCTACGATAGGGCTCTGCCAGGTGTGTGCACGCACACTTTGCGCCGACTCAAATGGCGACCTCCTGATCACCCGCTGCACTTGAAGTGTGGGCTTTCATGGGAGGAGGTGGGGTTAAGCCGCGACACGACCCCGGAACCTCTAGGCCCCAGAGTCACCTAGAAAGCAAAGAGTACCCTTCTTTGGTTAAAAGCCTCTACAAGGGAACACGGTGGTTCGGATTTAGGGTTGAAGCTTTTGTACATGCCTAATAGCGCCCCAAACCCTAAACAATAAACCCTAAACCCTACAAACCCTGAACCCTGAACCCTGAGCCCTAAACCCTACAAGGGAGGGGGTTATCACACATCAGGCCGTGAAATTACACATCACCCCAATGTGGACGCTCGCGCAAAGAATTACCCATCACGCGAGAGAATACACATCACAAGATACGAAACCCCAATGTGGACGCTGTTTTCGGCTGTCAGCCACGGAGACCTCAAAGTCCACCAAACCTCGCCGACGCCATTGTTTCGGGCCATTTTTACATCAATCTGGCGTACATCTTGGCAGCAAATCCCGAAGGAGACGCTCGATTTTTATCAACATACAAAACATTGATCTTCGAAGCTGAGACCCGCAGCTGCTCGAGTGCACCCCATAGACACACAGTGCAGTGCACAGTGATTGCAGGTGAAGGGTATGGTTTATAGGACTTAGGGTAAAAGGGTCTAGGGTGTCAGGTTCAGGGGTTTAAGGGCTGGGGGTTTAGGGTTTATCGAGCAAGTTTGTCAGCCGTCTCAAAAGATAAGGGATAATTGCAGAGCAGGGTTTTCAGCTGTCTCCACGTGTTCCCCCCCCTAAACCCTAAACCCTAAACCCTACGAGTAACCCTAAACCCTAAAACCTAAATCTAAACCCTACACCCTAAACCCTCAAACCTAATTCCTAAACCCTAAGCCCTAAACCCAACCCATGCTGAGGCCGAGGCGTGTGACGGACGAGTGGGCAGAGCGAAGGTTTGAGGGTTGTGCGAAGCTTTAGAGGAAAACAGTCTGAGCTTTAGGGCACCCACCGGCTTTGGATTTCGGGAGTTTGGGTTGCTAAACCCGTTGGGGTCTTGCCCTTTTAACCCCAAACCCTGACCTGAATAGAACTTGAAAGCCGCAAAGGCTGACTTATCGACACTTGCCGCAAGCAGATCCCAAACAGTGTCGGGCTTGGGTTTTCGATGATGGGCATGGGGTGGTTTGCATGCCAGACCCCATTGTGGACGCTGCATAGGCTGAAAACTGGACAGCTAGGATCAGTGCCGGGTCCTGTGCGGGAACTGCAAGACCCCAGTGTGGACGCCGATCGATGTGTATTTACACCGCGCGATGTGAGATAAACCCCCCCCCCAGTACGAACCCTACGAACCCTACAAACCCTAAACCCTCAACCCTCAACCCCTAGAAAAAGTCGGGGGCTGGCAGGCCCAGCCTCGTGGAAGTTGCCAAGGCCTCTCAGCCTCAATGTTAGGTTTAGCGGTTTAGGGTTGTTTAGGGTTTAGGGTTTAGGGTTTAGGGTTTAGGGTTTAGGGTTTAGGGTTTAGGGTTTAGGGTTTAGGGTTTAGGGTTTAGGGTTTAGGGTTTAGGGTTTAGGGTTTAGGGTTTCAGGGCTTCAGGGTTTCAAGGTTCTAGGGTTTCAGGGTTTCGGGGTTTTAGGGTTTCAGGGTTTTAGGGTTTGAGGGTTTTAGGGTTTCAGGGTTTTGAGTTTTATGTAGGGTTCTAGGGTTTTCGGGTTTTGGGTTTAGGGTTTGGGACTTAGAACTCGAAAGTTAAGCCGTGTTAACCCGTAGAATTTGGGGCTTGGGGCTTGGGGTGTAGGGTTTAGGGTTCAGGGTTAAGGGTTTAGGGTTTAGGGTTTAGGGTTCAGGGTTTAGGGTTTAGGGTTTAGGGTTTCAGGGCTTAGGCTAAATCAGTTGCCGCGTGGACGCAGGGGACCCGAAACGTTTAGGAGGCGGCTCGGGCCCTTATACGGCAGGGTCTAGAACCCCCAAACCCTAAACCCTAAACCCTAAACCCCGAAACCCTATGGTCATCAAAAAGCTCGGATTACGCAGGCGACCCCCCCTGAAAAGGAGCCCTTCAAGCAACGAAAGCCTATACTCTAAGGGTAATTACGTAGTTACGCGTAGTTTCATGGTCCCTTAGGTATGGGCCTGAAAAAGGGTACCCCTTTGTATACCCCTTATCTATGCTATTCAAATTAAGGGCCCAGACTTCAGGCCCAGATTCAGAACCCTTTGAAGGAGGCTGGAGACCATATTAAGGGCGCATGAAACTACCCCGAACTCTAGATCCTAGGCTCACTGTGTTTGGTGTCGGCTGTAGGGCGCTTTGACCGCGGCCACGTATTGCATGGCTTGGCTTTGAGAGCCTCTGGGTTAAAACGTTTTGTGTTCTACTTAGAGTCCTAGAGCAACCCTGTACTTCAAGAAAGAAAGGGTAAACATGCCCCGTAAGTCAGGCTCCCTAAACCCTAAACCCTCCACCCCAAACCCTAAACCCTAAACACCAGACCCCAAACCCTAAACCCTAAACCCTTCCCCCCCTTTATTTTGACTGCTCCAGAGGCCCTGAACCCGAAGCCCTAGCCCCCTAAACCCCAGCCCTAAACCCTAAACCCTGAACCCTTAAACCCCGAAACCCGTACTTGCAGGTTCATGGATAAATATAACTCGGGTCGGAAGTAAGGAAACCTATGTTAGGATTTAGGGTTTAGGGTTTAGGGCTTCTTGTTAAGCTGGACTCGCTCCAAATTGGACATTTTCGCCCCCCCCCAACAGTGAAACTTTAGCGTCTAGGGTCTTGGGTTTAGAGTTTAGGGTCCTAAACCCTAAACCCTAAAACCCTAGTCAAGGTACATATACCCCCCACTTATGACTCTCTGGCAATCAGGGGCGCTGGCGCATCGGCCAGGCCGCGACGGGCTATTAGGTGGACAGGCCTGGGTGGAGGGGGTTTGGGGTTGAGGGTTTAGGGTTTAGGGTTTAGGGTTTAGGGGGTTTAGGGGGTTTAGGGGGTTTAGGGTTTAGGGGGTTTAGGGTTTTTAGGGTTTAGGGTTTAGGGTTTAGGGTTTAGGGTTTAGGGTTTAGGGTTTAGGGTTTAGGGTTTAGGGTTTAGGGGTCAGGGGTCAGGGGTCAGGGGTCAGGGGTTAGGGGTTAATTACGTTTTAGGCTGTAGAGTTTAGGGCTATAGGGTTCCTGAGTCACCCCCAGTGCCACCCCCTAAAAGTGCCCATAAGACCAGCCTGAACAACCCCTGCTTGAATGTTCATGGATAGTTAGAAGTCATAAGTGCC